GTTGCCTCAGTCGTAGTTTCGAGTTCGGGTGTTGCATTTGTCTTTTCAACTGGCTGTTCATCTTCAAAGTGGACTCGTTTTCGACTGGTAGTCTGACTCCTCGTTACAGCCGCTATCGTTGCATGTTCGTGAACGGATTTCAAGGCATCTGGGTCTTGTGACCTATGGTTATCTGCCGAAGTGTCGTAGATCATTTCTTGAATTCTGTTCAATTCTTTGAGTTCTAGCTTCCGATGATCGCTCAACACAACTTTCGACACTTTGGACTCCAGGGCTTCACCAGCTAGCGAGTCGGCTGCCGCGTTGTATTCTCGTATGACATGAAGGTATCTGACGGACTTGAATTTGGCCGTGAGTTCTCGGTGGCGGTTAAGCAAGGTAATTAATGAATCCTTTCGACATGCGATCACCCCTAGTGATTGTTGGATTGCGAGCCTTGAATCTCCGACTATGACTAAAGTATCAGCACCGAAATCGAGGGCTGCTTGGACCCATTATTCATTCCAGTGTATTCAGCCATATTCACGGTGGTAGTTTCAAGGTAAGCACTCGCAGCGATCACTATTTGCCAGTCAGGCAATTTCCACAGTATCCATGAACAACTTCCATACACCATTCTTCTCAGTCTTCGCTGAGCCATCAAAGGACAGCACGTATCCACAATAGTCGACTGGTAGTTGGGCATATAGCAAACTGGGATGCAGTCGAGTGTTTGGCGAACCTTTAGTAGGCGGTGGTACCAAAGCTAACGAGTCATCAAGGTCTACAAAGTTAGTAATGGTCGACTGTAGCAATTGCTAAAACGCACAATCTTTTTCTTTTATCCGTTCAACTTCCAGTTCCCATGGCAATAGCAGCACAGCGAACTGTACCGCTCTTCCGAACAACGATTTCGACTTGTACACCCATGCCAATGTCGAAAACCTCGTATACACATGAAGTTTCTTTCCAGCAAGTTGGGTATAACAAGTCTTCAACAGTCCAGTAGCAACAAGGCGAGTACTTCTTTTTCCGCTGAATGGAAATTCATTTCAGCATCCTTGTGTACTCGTCCACAGAATCTAACGGGATGTAACTTGTCGTCATGCATTTGCATTAGCGTAGCGCTCAGCGCCCACTCGTTTGCATATAGCATGACAAAGATTTCCTTGGTTTTGTCGAAGTGTCGGAGTATAGGTGCCTCAGCCACTTTACGCTGTAAGATCCGGAAGCTCTCTTTTGCTCCGGACAAGTCACCTTCCTCAGTGAAATCTTCGTCTTTTAGCTGATACAATACGGCTCCAAACACTGCAAAATCCTGGATAAAGCGTCCATAGTAATTTAACGCTCCGAGGAACTGCTGCACCCCTTTCTTCGATTTTGGGAAAGGTAATTCCGTAATTGCAGTCATCTTTTCAACGTCTGCTCGGATTCCAGCCGAGGAAACTTCATGAGATAAGAAATCCACTTTCGATTGACAAAAAATGCTTTTCGTGAAACTAACACTGATCCTGCATTCTTCGAAACGCCTCAAGAGTTTGTCCAACGTACCCAAACAATCTTCAAACGTAGTACCACCGAAGCAAACATCATCGACGAAGGACCGACGTTGAAAAACCGGGACTAAGACTGACTGATCCGGTTCGTTTGTCGCGAACATGTCCGCTGTTGCAGTGTTCACCAACCTGAGCACTGGATCGGACTCTAACAACCAATCACGATCACCGTTGAACTTAGTCTGAGTCGTATGATCCGTCATAGTTTCCTTGTCGTAACAACTTAACTTCATCTTCAGCCATCCGCACTCGTGTCAGCGAACTTCTTTCAGCCACCTTGAGGCTGAATAAATCCCCACAAAGCATTGTCAATCATTCTCGGGTAAATCATACGAGCGTTTTTCAATCCAAACGGCATTCGTAACCATTCGAATGGCCTAATGCAAAAACGAATGCTGAAATTTTCCTAGCTCTCATGGTCATCAGGATTGCCCAGAACCCCCATGCTGCATCGAGAGAACAGAACCAAAGATAGCTTTCCAGTTCTGTCAATAGGTCGTCGACTAGCGGCATAGCGTATTCCATCACTGTTGTCACATGGTTCACCATTTTATAGTCGATACATAATCGAATATCTTCGTCATTCTTCTTTAGCACGATAACAATTGGCGATGCCCATGGACTATTAGAAAACGCAATGAGTTCTGCTTTGAGCAACCCTTTCAGGAGCTCGTACAACTTCTGCAGGAACCTCAGTGGTATTCTGCGTGCCTTTTGTTTGATAGGAGTATGATTATCGGCATCTATATCACAGGTGACTCCATATGCAGGTGGTGGTAGTGCATTACCACTCGATATCATGATCGACTCGTGCTTATTCAGTACGTCAATCAACTGTTGTTGTTGGCCACCGCTCAGCTCGGGATTCTTGACATTTGGCGAGTCGTAGTCTAGTGTTGTGACACTGGGCTCGGTTAAGTCTGGCAAAAATGCCAACTCATGCGCGTAATCCTCCAACGAAATATAGTTCGCTTCATGGAAAACATAGTCATCATCATCATTGTCGAACGTTCCGTCTGCGGATAACTCTTGAGCCACGCAAACGTACGTCTTCTCTAACACGTCTATTTCTGCCGCAGAGACAGACTCGGTATCATGACCCGTGATGGGTGAACCTTCGTCACTACTCAAGTCTCTCCTGTCTGGTGGCTCCATCGATGTTCGATCTCCGAGTAATTCATGGGTCCCAGCTGTCGTTATATCCAGCTTGTTACTATTATTTCCATCCATATTGGCTATCATCACTTCTTCGGCGGTTGGAACCACCCCTGACTCTTCACTGGCTTCGTCACCTAGACCCTTATTCCATTGAACAACCTCATCCATACTCTCATCATCGCCTCTTGATAAATCGTCAGCCACTCGTTGCATGATAGCAGTAGGTAGAGTATATGCTCGTCGATCGACTGCTGGAGGCTGAGAGGCTAGTCATTGTTCGTACAATTCACATTCTCGCTTGAGCAGGGTTTTATCCCGTGACCCAGCGTAAGCTAAGACTTGCCATTCTTCGTATTTCTGCGAATCTATTGGTACATAACCAATCATCTTTGGCATATATCCTCTCGGCACCCAGACTATGACTTGTAAATGGGCCGGGCAGAAAACAGCTTTGTCCGTGATATTAGTCAATCTGATTCGGGTTGGTTGACCCAGATTGAATTTAGTTATCGTTGGGATCAAGGCTGCAGCCCCGCGTATCCACACGTCATGAGTCCCCAATGATGGTTTCCTTTTCTGCAATCTGAACTCCGAACTTTGTCCTGTCTGAATGTGAAAGCTCTCAGTCGGACCTCCGCGAACGTGTCGTCCTTCTGCACTGTCCTCATCCCAGGACTGAGCTTTTATCAGTGGAACCATTACTTCT